GCACCGTCCGCCCGTCCGCTTCTCTTCTCTCGTTTCCGCTCGGTTCGCGTGAATTGGGGAAGAGAAGGGCTCGGTTAAGCCTATTAAGGGAATTTAGGATTTGCTAAATGATCATATTACCCTTACTTAAGTAAATTCGGCTTAAGAAAAACCTAGGGGCAAAGTTGGCATTTAGAGACTTCTAAAATCAATAACTCTAAAATTAGGCAAAATTAGGTACAAGTTTTGTATACCAAAACGATCAAAATTTTGCAAGGGATTTTCTAAAATTATTTCCATTACATTCCGTTAACCTTGAAAATTCCACTAAATTCTCGTGACGGCGCTTTAAAAAGCGTGCAAAGCCTAAAATAGGATTTTCGGGTTTTACAATTCTCCCTCCCTTATAAAAATTTCGTCCTTAAAATTTAAACAAGCTTAAGAAAACATACCTTAGTCAAATAGGTGAGGGTAGGTCTCCCTCATCTCTGATTCTTTCTCCCAAGTGGCATCCTTCTCAGAACTGTGCTTCCAAAGCACCTTAACAAAAGGAATCGGTCTGCTCCTCAACTGCTTAACCTCATACTCAAGGATCTTGTCTGGTTCATTAATAAAAGTCAAATCAGGTTGAATGTCTATCACATCTGTACTAATCCTCTGAGTCTCATCTGAAATATATTTCCTTAAGGAGGAAATATGAAACACATTATGTACTCCACTCATATGTGCTGGTAGAATCAACCTATAGGTCACCTTTCCAATCCTTTCTGAAATCTCAAAAGGACCTACAAATCTGGGACTCAGTTTTCCTGCTTTGCCAAATCTCTTCACTCCCTTCATTGGACTGACTTTGAGAAATACAAATTCTCCAATATCAAACTCAACTGATCGGTGCTTGGCATCATAATATTTCTTCTGTCTGTCCTGTACTGCCCTCAATCTATCTCTGATCAATCTAATCTTTTCTGTAGCATCATCAACCAGATCTGCACCAATTACCTTTCTTTCTCCTCTCTCAGCCCAATTTAAAGGTGTCCTACACCTTCTCCCATATAAAGTCTCGTATGGAGCCATACCAATACTTGCTTGGAAGCTATTGTTGTAGGCAAATTCAATCAAAGGCACATATGCCTCCCACTTACCACCAAAATCCAGAACACATAATCTGAGCAAATCTTCTATGGTCTGGATTGTTCTTTCTGACTATCCATCTGTCTGAGGGTGGAAAGCTGTATTAAAAGTAAGTCTGGTACCCAAAGCTTCCTGGACTTTCTTCCAAAATCTGGAAGTAAATCTCCCATCTCGGCCTGACACTATTGTCTTCGGTAATCCATGCAATCTGACAATCTGATCAACATACAGACTTGCCAATTTCTCAACAGGATCAGACTGTTTGATAGGTATAAAATGTGCAGATTTAGTCAACCTATCTTTAATCACCCATAAAGTATCACTTCCTTTTCTGGATCTAGGTAAGCCAACCACAAAATCCATAGC